ATAGGTTTTCTTTATTCTTAAGGTAATCCCTTAAGATAGGTTTAAACCAGTCTTAAGTATCTCTTTAAATTAATAATACTATAAATAGTAACTTCTTAATAAGGCTATTTAGTTTATTTAAAAATAATTAAAAGTATCTTTTTACTTAAATAAGGAATAGGATTATATTACTTATCTATTCTTTAAAGGGTTTTAATTTAAGCAGCTTAAATACTTCTTTAAAGTCCTTTATATAATATTTATAGTTACCTTCTTTATTATTAGTAATAAGTTATATATTTATTTAAGCTTTTAGTATATTAATAGTATTATAAAGCTATTAAATTTTAGCTGCTATTTTAGTATTATTAAGTAGTACTTTAATATAAAGAGATATTAAGGTATTAATATTACTAAATATTTTAATAGTATATTACTACTTAATATATATATAGTATATATTAAATAAGAGCTATTAATATATAATAGTTATAGGTTTTAAATAGAGAATTAATCTATATTAGGTTTTATATTTACAGAAATATAAAGTATATATATTAAGCTTAACTTAACTATTATATCTCTTAATAATTAAGTAATATATATTAGGCTTATTAATATAAAGAAGTTCTATTAATAGCTAATAAGTTAAGTTTTATTTAGTACTAAATAAATATATTTATATATTATAGAGATATATAAGTTAAATAAGGTCGGTTTAACTTAGTTTATCTTTATAGTATAGGTTAAATAAGGTTGGTTTAACTCTATTTATAGCAGTTGGTTCTATAAGTTAAATAGTATATACTTAATATATATAGAGTAAGCAGTTTCTAATTGGTGGAAAAAGTAGGCTGTATATTTTATATGTATTAAGATGTATTGGATTATAATATAAAAGTATTTTATAGTAATATACCCCCAGTTTAAACCACTGCTTCTTTACTGATATTACTTTATTTACAGTTCTTAGACATAAGGTCAATTGGTCACATGCTCTTGCATATATATTCAATTAATAGAGGTTAATTTAGCTTTTGCCGACTAACTTATAT